TATATATATAAATATATATTTTTATGTATATATAAAAATACATACATAGAGCCAGGAGGTATATATATAGTTATTGCTGCCTATTTGTATGTATCTACAAAATACATATATACAAACATAAAAATACATATAGTATACATAAATGAAAAATATATTTTCATAAGTGTGTATGTATATATATGTATTTATATAGCTATATATGCATGTGTGCGTATATACATACATACACATACTGTAGCACGCTCACTTTACCAGCATAAATAAGCCACTGCAGATGAATTCCTGTCAGTACCAGCATTTTTTAAATAGAAGGGAAAGAAATATCTGAAAGGGCTTGCTGGTAGATGGGGATTTACTAGTGCTGTAGGAGGTAATATAACAGCAACACGACTTTTCTCTCCGTTATTTCCTAAAATGGAAAAAAAAAAATCTTCTTTTCCCAGTTTGGTGAGCTCTATTGTTGGTTTTGCTGTCATAACTACGTCAGTTCTAAGGGTGATTTCTCTCCATGCTCGTAACCCACGTAACCACTCTGTCAGAAACGTTAACTGCAAACTAAGCGTAAAACATAATGGGAAAAGTATTTTTATATCAGAATATTTGTGTTTACAGTAAAGCTTATTCCCATATTTCAGTCACTATCGTACCTTTAAAGGAGGAGATTCACCAGCACAAAAGGTGTAGTGTATGGAACTGCTCTTCCTCTTCTGAGCGAAGACATTAGATTTTACAGCCCTCTCTACATCTGCTCTTCACTCATCTTTTCCTGATAAGCAGGATAAAATGAGATAGAGAAGAGGAATTCTTTATTTAATTTCTTCCACTTGAATGAAAAAATAAAGATTTCTGCACCAAACCAGTGGGAGAGTATTTAAGTGAGGAAGAAGAAAAGCAAGGAAGAGCAAATCAGAAAATTTGTCTTCTTTCATAGTTTAATAATGCTCTGAGATCCTACCAGAAGGAGAGTTGTAACCCAGGTATTTTAGTTTGTAGCGTTGCCTTAGCTGATGTGCTGAAATAAATCACAATATTGCAAGTCATTTGTTAACTACTGCTCCCCAAAACACTAAAAGCTCTATCTTAGATATTTCTGACAGAAGTTTAATGGCAAACAGATGTTCCCAGGACACCACTTCTAAAGAGCTGTCATCTCTTTTTTTACTCAAAATAGTCTTTCTTTAAGCTTCTGGATTTTTTTTTTTTTTTACATTGCATGACCTTCCCTCAAAGATTTTGCTAAAACACTGCAAATGGCACGAAGTTAAAGCAGAAATCTCCACGGGTATTTTTTTGCTCACGTAGTAGAGATGCTGGAGACATCAGCAATGGGGCAGCAGGATCAAGGTACACCACCCATCCCGACAATCACCATCACGCTGTGACAGACAGCTTCTTCCAGAGTGGGGTTTCACGCACATCCGCAGAAATGAGGACTCTTGCTGTTTATTTTTCTACTGAAATACCCTAAATATTTTTATAGAAGGCATAAAAGCAAAGAAGTGCTCTCGAAGAGCTACACCCAGGGCCTGATGTTTTATCTGCCCAATTAAGAGTGTTTTTTCTCATATTTATTCCATCCCAGTAGTCACTTACCCTCCTTGGCAAGCAGTAAGTTTACTGTAAATAAGGCATTTCTGTTATTTCCCAGAGGGAAACATCACATAGTACACTCTGCTTTTTCAGTGCTGCAAGGAGACTTATCCAGGCCTTGTTGCAGAGTTGTTCCTCACCCCTCATCTCCCCATTTCCAACAGAAGTAGGACCAAAGTGTCAGTCCACAGACCCATTGCCTAAAAGTTCTCCTGGCTGTCCGTGTGCTGGCATGAACAGGGACTTGTGCCTCTTCGCTCCAGCTCCCCTTTCCCGCCGTCTTCATTAACGCTCAGCTCGTTTTTCCACCTTGCTGTTTCAGGATGAACGAGGAGCAGATAGCGACCGTCTGCCTGTCCGTCCTGAGAGCCCTGTCCTACCTGCACAACCAAGGCGTCATCCACCGTGACATCAAAAGCGACTCCATCCTTCTCACCAGCGACGGGAGGGTGAGCGCCCAACGTTTCCCCTGCCATCTGATAGGGCTGCCAGGAAAATAGCTGTGCACGTTCAAAAAAAAAAAAGCCAGGCATGCGAAACCAAGGGATACAACCTCTGTTAGAGAGCTGAATCAGAAAAACACGGGCCTGAATGATGACTGACATCTGCACTGCATGCAGAGTCCCTGAGGGAGATCGGAGCCATCAAAAGGCAGTGGCAGAAGGAGCTGTGCCACGTGGGTGATGCTTAGGTGATGGGAGACCTTCTTCCATGCTGCACCACTTCCACTTCAATGCCTCTCAAAAATATTTCCTTCTTACTACATTTAGTTATCCTTTAGTTGGCAAGTTTTTATACATTTGCTCGGTTTTCCCAAGCTAGTTAGGAGGCTAACATCAATCTGTACAAATGGGAAAGGGTCTACATTGCTGCTGAAACACTCCCTGGACTGTGAGAGTAGCTTCTACCATTGGTGTACTTAGAAGATGGTTAATAGTACCTGTCCCACACTTCCATTTACTTGGACGGGATGCTGCTGGCAGTGAACTGTCTTTGTGATGTTCATGAGTGGGGCGAGAAGGAGAGAAAATGCTGCACGTGACCTGCTTAATTAGCAAAATAAAGTTTGCACGCAAAAAGAATATTACATCAGCAGTGTTTGGTCCCAGAGAAGTTGTTACTCCCTTACAAGGAGAAAGGTGGGTTTGTGCTGTGGTATTGCTGGGCACACCCAGCAGTAAAAAATGAGGCATCTAAACTTGGGGCACCCAAAGGCTTTGGTGGAAGGAGGCAAATCACTCATAAGACCCTAATTTCTGCTTGAGTTAGTTAGGCACTAGTTTGCATCTCGCCTTGTGGCCCCATTGGGATAATTGGAGTGAAAACTAACGCACTCGTGGCCGATGAGTCCCATCACAGGGTTCTAAAGGTTGCTCCACACCTGTCTAAAGCAGGACTGACTTAGTGGGTTGGACTGAGCCCAAGAGCACCTGGTCAGTCTGGAACCAAACCTAGATCTTCTCCTCCAGAAGGCAGAACCCTTGGCTTCCCAGGCCTGGTCCGATTCTCTAATCAAAGGCTCGCCTTGATCATTTGATTCCCACTTCACCAAGGGAGAGGGATTTTCCTCCTGCAGCAGTTGCGGGCTGCTCCTGTTAATCCTGTCAGGGGAAGAAAATTCCACGTGTGTAGGAGTTTTTCAGTTGCAATTTCAATCCATGTTGCTGAAATAGAATCTGATCCGCTCTCAGGATCTGCATACAGTGCCTCATTACACTCATTACTCCAGTACTTATTATCTGCATTGCAGATTTCTTCATGGCTGTGTTGTGCAATTATCTTTTTTTAGAAAATCGTCTTCTTTTATGTACTCGAATGAGCAATAGATATGCAAAACCTCTTGTGCTCCTACAAAAGAAGATTGGGCTCTGCTTCCAAAATACGCATTATTTCTTCCATTCTTCATCCTGTAAACTGAAAAATACATTTAGCACAGAGAACTTGGCTATTATTGGCTTTGTTCTAGAAATACCAACAATCATTTCGTAATTCTGTTAAAAATAATACCCTTTTAGTTTTAAAAAAAGTAATGTCTGTACTGAAGCCAAAAGGAAACAAATCAGTGCTGATAATGAAATGCTGGTCTACACAATGCAGTGGTTTATGAAACTTCCCACTTCATTTGTGCTGGGGCTGTTTGGGCTCACTTCATATCCCCAGGCGCCGAGTACGGGATCGGATACGCAGCATATGGACCTTGCACATGGGTCGCTGCTGCACTGGGCGGTGTGTAGCTGGGGGTGATGGGGATTACCCTCATGGCCAGGAAAACCCTTATGAGACTTTCAAGGCCTCCAAATAAGTATTTGGGGGAAAAAAAAACACAAACAAAAAATACCCCCCCCAAAAAACCAAAAAAATTTTAGCCTTAAGGAACAAGCCATTTCTGGAGGGAAGTGATACCACCAGACCAGTTTGTTTTGGTTGGAGGTTGGAGCATTTTCACTTTGGCATTGTACAGCCACAGGGAGGGGTGGGGGGAAGGCAATAATTTTCCATACTTTTTCTTGTGGAAGAAAAAAAAACCTGCTGTAAAAGTATGAGCAGGCACATGATGCAGCAAGAGCTGCTCTCCAGAGTGTTTGTGTATCCCATTATTTCTATTTCAGGTCACTGCCACAGCTACTCAAGGACAAGACTGTCTTTAATTCCTGAGTTCCCAAGCAAAGGGGAAGGTGTCCCTTGTCTCTTGGAACTGTTTTGGAAGAGTCTTCCCTGCTTTCCCCAAATTAGCTTCCCGCTACATAGACGAAACAGTTTCTTTAGTCATAGTGCACAGTGTGAGGTCGTGGTCTTGAAAAATCATTGGTGAGGGTATTGCTGTCTGTGTTTGCTCATGCTCTCTGTGGTGAAAGGAAAAAGGGTGAATGACACTTCCTTAATCTGTTTTTCGGCAAATTCATGGATCATACACCTGCTACAAATAATAGGAGTGATGTGTGTCACTTGCAATATGCGTATTATTAAATATTAGTGTGCATACATAGATGACAAACATGGGGTTTACATCATGCAGTAATGGATTCATTATAAATTACTGTTACTTCAGAACTTTTTTGCTTTCCTTCCATTTTTTTAAATAGGAATTAAAAGCGATTTGTCGCCTCCGCATCTTTTGCTGCTGGAGAGGCAATGAGCTATCCAGGCAACCTTAGTAACGAGCACCACTGCTGCTCTCTCCTACTTCTTTTCCTTGCCTTGGGTTTAATTAGCCACACATTCCCCAGGCTGTATTGCCGTCTCCAGCCACACTTCCAAAATTCCTGTGCTGTCCCATCCCAGGCAAACGCTGCAGCTCCGTCCCTGTACCCCTCCCCAGCAGCAGCTGGAGACGTGGATCTCAGCGGCACGTGTGTCTCGGGGGAACTTGCCTTGTTATTCAAGAGGGGCTTTTTTTTTTTCTTCGCTTTCCAGATAAAACTGTCCGACTTTGGGTTCTGCGCCCAAGTGTCAAAGGAGGTGCCCAGGAGGAAGTCGCTGGTTGGCACGCCGTACTGGATGGCACCGGAGGTGATCTCCCGCCTGCCCTATGGCACCGAGGTGAGCGCCGCGGGCACCGCCTGCCCACGCAGACCCAGGGCGGCTGTGTGCCCTCTGCCTGGAGCCTTGGTCCACCCCACCAAGCCTGTGAGAAACGCACAGTTCAACTGGATTTATGCAGATATGCTAAACAGCAGCAATTATGTTTGCCCCAGAGTGCTGCATCGTGCTTCCTTTTAAAGTATTTCTCTGAGACGAGGTCGTTAAATAACTACTCCATTTAGTGCGTTAAACAATGTAATGCCTTTACAGATTTTAGCTTAGGGTGCTCTGTTAAAGGAAACTGGCATCATTTGCACATCATCATGAAAGACCCTTTGATGATCTTCACTACTAAGCCTGCTGGAGCTGCACTTACAGGTGTCTACACCTGCATATGCCAAACCAGTAGCCAAATCTCATGCCTGTACTGTGCAGCCAGGTCACACCAGTGTTTTCACTGACCTGCAGGCAGAGAGCCACGCTGCTTTCATCCAGCTAAAGCCTAAGATCCCCTTCCTCCGGAGGGGTGCCAGCAAAGGCACAGGCATGGTCCTGTAGGGTCTCAGGCACAGGAGCCAGCTGCTGGGCTGGGTTGCCACCCTCTGTGTCTTCGTATCGGCTCATTCCTTGCACTGGGGTCTCTCATTAGTTGAGTGTGGGGGCTGGGGGAGTCTGTCTGTGGGAACTATTTTAAGCACTGCCAAATAGTTGAAGAAGGGCAATTCACACATTTCTATTGGAGCCCTTCAGATGAGACCAGCAAGACCTCGTAGGGGGGGACCCGGTGGCTCTGCAGTGCCGTACCCCGTCCGTTACGAAGCTCTGAGTCACGACGCTTCTGCGCTGCCAGCCTGGGAAGAGCAATCCCCTCTCCCACGCTCAGCCGTGACAGTGACTCACGCCTCCCCAGCCAGAGACGTGGCTGCATTTTCTCCTCTACGTGGTGAGCAGAGTCATCTTCTGCTTGATAGTGCCTATAGTAACAGCTGCAGAGGGAAAACCTGCAAGACAGAGAGAGAGAGAGAGATCTATTTACACACAGATACACACACACATAGAGGGAGGGAGAAATGAGCTGAGGCCTGAGACACCACAGCTTCACATCACGCAGCTGGGACAGGTCTGGCGCTGGCGAGGAGAGCGTCCGCCCCAGAGCGACAGCACCCTGCAGGCACCAGCGTTCACCCAGGACGTGGCATTCTAAGAGACGTTTCAGGGATAATAACATCAGCTATTATTAGCCCATTAATAACACTGAAGGGATTATAAAGTGGCTGAATTTACAGCTACATTAGGTTTCCCAACCATAACAGAAAGGGGAAAAATAAAAAAAAAAAGAGGATTTAAAATGAAGGATAGTGTTGGCAAAAGAGGAAAAGCAGTACGTGCTGGCCTTGGCTGTATTTGGGCTGGCAAATGACGGGAATTACAGTCATCAGAGGATTGGGATTCTGGAACAGCTCTGCAGCAGGCCAGGACCAAAAAAAAAAGGTGTGTTGGTTTTTTTTAAGATGGAGCTGAATCATTTTCCAAAGATTACGTAGAGCGTTACCTGTGCTCGCTGGAAACGGGCCTGAGTGTATTAATTGCTTGCATTTGCCTTGGGGGCTCAGATGGCGTGTCTGTAGTCTTTCATATTCGGGGAAAAATAGAGCAACTGTTTTCACAGCAGCTGGATTTTACCCTGCTCTCCTACTCGCTGCACCTCTCTGCAGCAGCACGTATCAGTGGGTGCAAATCAGTGCAGCTGAAATGCAGCACAGCAGGTGCAGCCAGCGCCTCAAACGAGTGCACCTTAGTGCTTCCCATGGACATCATCTAAACCAGCTGCAGAACAGGATTTGTAAGTCATTTATCTTTTTTTTTTTTGTTCAATGCCCTTACTGCCCAGAAAAAAAAAAAACCTTTGTCAGCTGGTTAAAAAAAAAAAAAAAAGATTTATGGTGATGGACCACCAGACTCTTGGCTTAGATTGGACACAGACACCAGGTACAACAGAATGGGCCAGCTCGGAGGTTTGCATAAACTCAAGTGTTGAGCCTGTTACTCCCCGTCTCTGCACCACCTGCGGTGTTTATGAAGGGACTGTGTGTTACAGGTGGACATCTGGTCCCTGGGCATCATGGTGATAGAGATGATCGACGGTGAACCTCCCTACTTCAACGAGCCACCGCTGCAGGCCATGCGCCGAATCCGGGATAATTTACCGCCCCGGGTGAAGGACATGCACAAGGTCAGATTGCCACAGGGGACGAGAACTTTGCGCACACAAAGGTGTAATAAAATCATAGCCACACACTTGCATGCCCAAAGGATAAATTGCATCTTTAAGGTACCACCTTGAGCAGTGGGTCCTACACAGGACTCGTGGGAGGCTACAGCCACCAGAAAACTGTAGCCTTTTTGGTGCCCAGCCCTGGCTTTGCTTTTGCAGTGAGTGACAGAGGAGGGAGCTGGGCAGAGCCTCGTGCTCCCTGTGCTTCCCACCCTGGCCGAGGACCAGAGCGAGTTGGCACGAGCCCTGCTGCGGATGGGTTGGTACATCCATGCATGTGGGTACCTCCCATTTTGGGTGTGTGTTGAGAAGTCAGACCTGAGCCCTCAGTGTGTTGCTGCTTCCCCCCCCTCCACGTGCAAAGCCGTGTGTTGCGCGTGTTTCTGCACCCCACGGATCCCCCAGTACTTTCAATATTAACGGCCCATAGAAGACCCATGGCCCTTCAGCTCAGAACACCTGTTGGCTGTAGGAAAGCTCAGTCTGTCCCTTGTCTTCTCAAGAAAAGTAGCGTGCACAGACCCAACGTAGGCTGGAAACGGTGTCTTTGTCCACCCCTAATGCCAGTGTGATGTTGCAGGTCTCCTCGGTCCTCCGGGGCTTCTTGGACTCGATGCTGGTGCGGGAGCCCTCGCAGAGAGCCACAGCACAGGAACTCTTGAGACACCCGTTTCTCAAACTGGCCGGGCCCCCTTCTTGCATCGTGCCCCTCATGAGGCAGCACAGGCACCGCTGACGCCGGCGACTTTTCGGGAGGAGGTCGGTGCAAACTCCGGATAACGGCCGCGCAGGAATCCCGGCGGTTGCGTGGGAACCGTGGGCAGGGAAGAGTGAAACCTTGCGGAGGAAAACCAGCCCTGTGGAAATAACGCGGTGTGTAAAAAACCAAGGAGGTGCTCTCTGGGGCTGCGAGGGACCCTGGAGCGATCCTGGCCACCAGCTGGGTGGCCACGCTCCGCCATGGACCGTCGCTCCCCCACGCTGTCGTCGCCTTGGCCATCCAGGCAAAAAGGTGCCAAATGCAAACAAGTTTGGAAAGATAATTACTAGAGGATAGCACAACCAGAGTGAAACACCAGAATTTTATTGCAGGCTACGGCACTTCTATTTCAGAAGAACACTTTTCTGACAAAAAAAGCACTTTTTATCTCAGTCATAGCAGCGCAATGTATTTTGCAACGAATTTGTAATTTTCTGTACAGTACGTTTTGATAATTTGCCGTACTTTGTCACGTAACCGTTGTGTTAGTTAAAGTAATAAGTGTAACTTAGCAAGAATTTGAGGAGATTAAGAAAAAGTTTCCTACTTTTTTTAACCCTTTTGAAAACAGAAAAAGAAAACCCTTTAGGAAGTTTTGCAGATTTTCCATTGGGGCGAGGAGAGTGACGGTGATGGGGCGCTACCAGTGATGCAGTGGCAACCAAGGCTGCTGCTGAGCGTTAGCAGTCATCAGGGTCTCCCTCATCTCCCCGTTTCTCCCACGGTGGCAGCTAACACATCTGGCGTACCTTTGCTCAAGGGTCATCTTCTCGCACCGTGGCGGTCCCTTCGTTTTATGCCACCACGAGCTTAGTTTTCTTACCACAAAGATCTCCATTCTTTCTGTCCCGCTCTGGAAGTGAAAAGGGACGGCCAGAGTCCGTCCACCCACCTGCCCAGCGGGTATCCTCCGGAGCTCCGACCGTTGTGATGCGTTACGAGATGTTCGCCATATGGAAGAAGTCGTGCTGCTGTCTAGACCTTTTTGAATGTTGATGCAACAGTTGACTACTACGGTACAATTTTGTGTTATTTGTTGGATGACTTTGCATGTTAACTGTAGGCCTAAATAGATTTGCCTTTAAAATTTTTAGAAGTGCTTCATAATTATTTCAATGATAAATGAATTTTATTTATTAATGATTTGTTCTTTTTAATTATGTATAATACAGAAGCCATGTTTTTCAAAGGTGGGATTTTCTTTTTCTTACTGACCTCATTTTACGATACCATTAAGAAACACAAAGCCAATTTTGTGAAAACACAGTTAGTTTCTTTCTTATTACGGAATCTCGTAGTGAATAAATTAATTGTTATTTATTGTAGTAAATTATAACCAAACATCTAAATCTGGCAGGAGCTGTTTCTTAAAGATCTTCCTCTGGGACAAAAGAGTTACCAATAGCAAAGAAGCTCCTTTAGTATTGTCCTTAAAAAGTTAAAGAACATTTGAAGGGAGAGAAGCAATGAAAAAGAAAAGAGGGGATAAATATGAACGTGAACATTGAATAAACGTGCTTACATCTGCGCGTCTTACTCCCCGCTGCTTTCTCTTCTTAACCCTGTTTGCACATTTTAAGAAGATGCTAAAGAAAATGTGTTTGGCTTCCGCCGCCCCGCCGCCAACGCGCTCCCGGCACCCACCCGCAGACCCCTGGCGGAGCGCGCAGCACCCGCAGCCTTCCAGGGGGATTCTGTTTTGTAGTCTTGACAACTCAGGAAAAAAGGCTGCACCGGTAAAGGCAATGACAAACAGGTGAAATTGTCATACTGGCCGCAAAATTAAACTTTTTTAACCATCTTTGAATAAAAAAGGGGTTGGTGGGGTTTTTCTCTTCGATTTTCAGCACATTTTAGGCTGTACAAGTGAATTTTCTGCAACTTTCTTATCATTAGATACTTTAAACAGTATTCATCAAGTTTGTTGAAAGTTTTGTCAATTTCAAAGGGGTTTTTTTTGTGAACACCAGCTCCTGGTGAGACAAATGCACATGCAAGTTAAATAAATTAATTAATAAATGCTTTCATTTTCAGTGTGGTTGTTTTTTTCCCCCATGCCTTATTTCTATTTTCTAAATTTGGCTCAGTCACACAGTATGGGACCAAGCAAATAACAAGAAAAAAGAGGTTCCTTGTGTATATGAGAGAGAACACATATATATAGTGATTTATAGAGCTGTCCCTAGTGATTTTGAAAGGTCAGTGGCTGTGTCTGTGTTGAAAGGCAGCTGCTCAGCCCTGGTCCCTTGGTGCTCGTCACAGCCGCGACCTGACTCCTGGCTGGGGAGTTGCTGGGGAGCCCCAGCCTCAGTGAAGGTTGCAGGGGTTGAGCTCCAGTACCACAAAGATCTGGGGTTAGGAAAGCCACTGGATCGCACGTAAAACCGGTGCCTACCCACCAACCACAGGAAGCTGACAGTCAGGAGTCGGTGTCTCTACGAGTGCAAGAAAATAGGTTGTTTTCTACTTTTTGATTGTATTTGTTCGTTTGAGATATTCGGAGAGGGAAATGCTTCTGTCCAGCCATAATTTTCCAAATTAAGAAGGTAGGAATAAGACCTCAAAAAAGAAGATCTCGGAGTCAATAAATTTTTCTCCTGGTTGATGGCACCATCACTGCATAAACACCTATGATGAACTACAGGACATGAGTAAGAAGCAGCAGCTTGAGATGTTAACTGTGCCTCTACCCAAAATTAAGAAAAAAAAAAAAAGAAACAACACTTAATAGTTGTCCCAAGCACATCACACTCAACAGACAAGGACCAGCAGGTTGGAAGAGGCAAAAGAGCCCCTACATGACTGAAAAAAAAAACCCACCACCAAAAACATTTTAATTTGCCGTAAGGAGGAAAGTGCAAAGGCTTAGGGTTTGCAGTGCAATGGGGTGTGGCAAAGCCAGGCAGCCTATGAGCTAAACACCCTAAATACATCACCAAAAAAATCCCAAAGCGAGGGGAAAAATAATGAAGGAAAATAATAATTCAAACCTGTACCATCAGCCTTTGCAAAAACCTTTACGTGGGAGACTTACTTTGTTTCTCCCTGGGATCATCCCACCCCCGAAGAGGCCAGTTCTGATCAGACCCAGAGCACCCGTTTGTCACGCACCAGCCTCCCTTCTTCTCCTTGCACAAAAAGAAACTTCCCCATGGCAGAAATCACCGTGTGGTTTGTGAGGCTGAAGCAAACGATGTAGTTAGAGCAGTATTAGAGAAAGAACCATTTCAACCCAAGGCACCCTCATTTGGCCATTCTGAGAGCTCCCCCCCAAACGCGCACACACACACACACACATTAGAAAAATACACAACTTCTGCTCTACACACACAAGAAAAAAAACTTTCATGGCTCAACACGAGTTGGCAATGCCAGCACTTGAAAGAAACGCCCAGACGTCCCGTTGTGGTTGGTCATACAGAACAGAAAATTAAAGAGAAGTGATTGGCACACCCATAGAGCTCTGCGTATGAAGTACTCCAGAAGGCTCATACCAGTTGAAACACTTCCACCTTCCTTCCCCTGCCTGCCCAAATAATCCCTTTTACTTTTTTCTTCCCTTACTTGTCCTTAATTTTTGGCTCATAACTGTTCAGCTCCCCTGCCTACTGAAACCATTCCTCCCAGGCTCCTCACTAGCATCATCGGTCAGCTAATAAGTCTCCAATATTATTTGCTTTCTCAAGCACCTTCAAGTCTTATAAATGAGGGGTTTATATTATTTTTGGTTGCTGACATCAGTAAATGCTTCAAAACAAACAAACAAAAAGTTTAACTTTGGCTGTTTGGCCCATAGAACCTCAAATAAAGCCAGACCCAGGCAAAAAAGTGGAGAAAAAACATGACCAATTACCATGGGCCACACAGTTGACTGTGCCGTGTTCATCACCCTCTCTGCAAATTTGTTCCTTGGTTAACTTCTGCAAGATCTTCCCAGGTTTTGTCTCCTGCAACCTGATGGCTCTTGAGCACTTATCCTGGTCCCTGTCGTACCCACACTGCAGCAGCTGTATTGTCCATCACTGTCACCTCATAGGCTGCACGGTCTTGCCCTTGTCGGGCATTTCAACAAAAAATATATACATTTTAGTTTTTAGGTACCAGATGTTGGGAGCATCCATCCACCCAGAAGATGTCTTCATCTGCTGCACCAGCTGAGGCTGAGCTCCACATATGGCTGGTTACTCCAATTCCCGCCTGTCACTAAGAAAGGATGGCTTTTTCTGAGGTCACCAGTTCTAAAAGTATTCACAAATACTCATAATTTTACTAGCAGAGGCCAGGGCATTTACTGGCTACGTAACTCCCTTCCTCAGCAATAAATACATCAATACTTTATAATTAAAGTTCTAATCATAAGTACTTTGTAAGTCATTAACAGCTGCTTTCGAAAGTGCTTAATTATTACAGGTCCTTACAGAGCTCAGTTGGGTGATAAGTTTCTTATATTTATCTGCCTTCTACCAATGTTTTCATAAACATTTCTAAAGCAAAGTGTTCAAGTTTGCAGCTAGCTCGTGATAAGCCATCGATGAACGAAAGCTAAATATAAAGTGAACTCACAATAAAAGCGCTGCTATCGTCTGGTGGCCATGAGGGAAGCTGGATGGCTTTTTTTAACCTCTCATCAATAATTTTTCAAAAATAGGCTTAGAAAGCTTAAATCGATGGAAAATTCCGATCAAATTCAGTAAACAATTGTTAGCAAAAATATGGAAAGAATCGAAAGACTCAAAGGGGTTTCTTTCAACATCTTAAATAACTTTTTCTAGAACTAAAATACCTCAGTCTAGGACACAATGCAAACTGTGATTGAGCTGAAATCATTGTTTCCATTTCCTTTCTTCTCAAAAAAGTGAGAGGAAAAACATTTTGAGACAGCAAGAAATTATTTCTTATCTTATTTCAGAAAACCAAGAAATGAAATACCCAACTCTGTTCCCAACAGCTTACAGACACTTTCAACCTGAAGGTGACGCCAAGTACCGGCTACAGACAACATCTGACATGAAAAGCAGCAAAAGATCTTAAGCTGTATGGGCACAGGGTTGAGGGCTGCATAGGCAGACCAGAGCCACCAGAGCAGCATCAGCTTTTGGGGGTTGTCCTCTCGGCAGATGGCCGATGCCACCGCTTCAATGCATTGGCCAATGCTCAAGCAGTGAGATCAGTCAAGGCCGTTTCCTACAAGCAGTGAAGACGGTGTTTTCCTTGGGAGGCTCTGCTGTGACTGCCCTTACAGGGCCCCTGCAGATTGAATTAAAATTAGTTTGCAAAGTCAACCATAAATCAGCATTTTTCCATTTCAAATACGTGTAGATGTTTGAGAGAGTCTCCCCGTTACTCCAGGTGTGTCTTGCTCACTTTCTGCAAACGGGGAAGCAACACGACCTACAAGGGGCTAAAACCTACCTGCAGCTTTGCTTACACAAGACACAACAAACTCCAGCGGCTCCAGGAACCAGCTTGGAGATAAGTTCAGCCAGCAGCTCCACCCACCAGCCACTGCCTCTCTTTGCAGCTCCATCCACCAGCCACTGCCTCTCTTTAGGGACACTAAGGCAGCTAAGGCAAGGCTCAGGTTTCGTTGCCTTCAAACAGCTCCATGTAAACCCTGAATTTTGGCTTCCAAGGGACGATAAAGATTAAATGTAGCCCATGAAATGCTGCAGGGGTGCAGAGCAGTGGGTTTCCCACCTCCTGCTCCATTTTTTTAAGTATCTGTCAGCCCCTCGTCAGCTATGGATGATCCTTCCTGCCTCCAAACCAGCTCTGCAAAATAAGTATGATTTCTGCGGGATATAAGAAGCTATAGTGCAAACGAGATTGCCACCAACGGCTTGTGCAAGGAGCCATCACACAAAGCAAAAGCAGGAGGCCAAGAGGAAAGAGCATAAAACCTTGCTTGGTTGTGTATTTTGGAACACCTTGCATCTCCACTGGCTATCAGGACAAGGTTGGATGCACTCAGGGGTCATGGAAAGCAGCTGAGACATGCAAGTCCACTACTGGTACGGTCATCCCTTCATTGGGTTAAAAATTGAGGGGGCCATCAGAAATCAACACGCTTACAAAAATGCTGCAATGTGCAGTTCCTTATCTCTGTAAAGCTGCTACTTAAGGCAAGTGAAAGGGAAGAATTTCTTTTTTAGATCACCCATTTAAAGTTTCCATATCCAACTGGATATGCAAGCTAACCCACGGTTTGCAAGGGAAAAAAAGAAAAGAAAGAAAAAAGAGGGATAAGTGCTGATGAAGGTAAGAGTCGGGAAGAGGCAGGAAAAAAACCCCAGTGGGCTCCCCTAGAGAAGCAGATAGCACAGGAGAGAAACAGGATCCTCTTCCTTGTTTCCAGCCACAAAGTATTTCTCTTCACCCATTTTTCGCAGACAATGTCCCAATTCTTCTATATTTCTAATTATACTCAACTTATCCAGGAGAAATTGCTCCTACTGACACCAAAGACTTGCAGCTCACTGGGACGAAACCAGGTGGGTGGGGACCAGCCTCTTACTGCTTGGGATGTCTCAGTATGGTGCAATTTCCATCCCCATCTGCCACCACGTCCTGCCCCACCGCTGCTCACCCGCACAACCACGCCATCCCACAGCCTTGCTCCTGCAGCCGCCTTGCCAAAACGTGCTGTTCAGAAGACAAATGACAAGAGAGGGGCTCTTTTGGCATCTGCAGTTCAGCTGTTTGCTTCCTTATTTTTTATTTTTATAAAAATGTCAAATACAGGAGCAGATGCTCCAGGATGAGCTGTTCTGGCTGGAGGGCAGACAAGAGCGAGGCAGGACAAAGCTGATAACTGTGGCCTCTCTATTAAGGATGAACCTTTAATCCTTTTATTCACCCTCCTGCTACCCATGGCTTTTTCTGGCTGTCTCTAAAAACTTTTCCTTTTTTTTTTTTTTTTTAAATAATAATCAGCTCATTGTAGGCAGTGACACTTGGTCAGCCTGAAGCCCGCCCAGAACACTTTCACTGGAGTTTTTAAAAGAAAAGGGCAAAGCCACAAAACATCATTAGCATCATAATTTTGCTTCTTACTTCCAAGCAAGAAAGCAAAAAGCCGAGTGTAACATAGAAATGAGACCAGGAATAAGGGAGGACTAAAGGAAAGCTCTTGCTGCACCCACCTTCATCAAAAACCCACCATAAATTTTGGAGGAGGCTGCAGCACTAAAAAGCAGTTAAGTTTCACCTCTTGCACTTCTCAACACTGAAAATACTATTTTTCTTTGCTTATTACCCTGGTTTAAACGGAAAGAGGAGCGTCTGTACGAGTCCCTGTTTGGATCAAACCAGTTTGAGAACAAGAAGGTATTTTCCATACCCTAAACTAACAAGGTCTGGACTAACTCTTGCCGTGGGAAGTCAAAGGTTTCAGTGGGAACTGGACAGGACCAGAATGAAACATGTCACTGCCCACAAAACACATGAGAAAGAAACAGCCCAGAGATTAAAAGAATATTAGAAATAACCAACAAATCACAGAATACTGAACCACCACCGTGTCTTCACCAAACCATCTGCACCAAAAATGCCGCTAGAATAAATCCTGCATTTAACATCCATTCAGAACATGTATTTTTGCACCGATTCCATTAGATATCATGGAGTTAGTAAAAAGCATTACATCATTTCAAAATAAGATAGCAAATCAAGTATTATATACGTACATGTTTTAATTAATTTTAAAAATCATCTACATTTAAGGATAGATTTCAAGGGTTCCCTTATATTTTTTTCTGTTACATTAGATTATACCTGAATAATCTGCATAGTAACTTTAACATTTCTGTTTTCTTGGGTTTTTTTTTTTTGTTTCATTGTGAAAATAACTGTTGCAGGCAGCAATGTAACATCTCAATGACAATCACAATACGTGCAGGATGTCCAGCCAGAAGCATTTCTCAGTTGACTTGCAGTAGCATGGCACTTTATAATTTGTGTATCAATACACTTTTTTATTATTATTATTATTTTTTAAAGTTTAGGTCAGATGTGGCTCAAGAAGCAAAAACAAACTTTCTTCACTCAGCCTCAAGCATGGGGTCAGCTCTTCAGCGGGCTGCGATCTGCTCCACTGGAGTTACTCCAGTTTATATAAGCTTGAGGTGTTGGCATTTGGTGTTTTGTTTTTTTTCTTTCCCCTAAAACACACCTGTATTGCCTTCATGCTTTCCTCAACATGAATGTAAACTCAAGTACCTTTGTTAGAGAACCTTACTGAGTCCTGTAATGGCTCTGTCCCCCAGCCCTGCTCCCTGCATGGAGAGGAACAGAGAGGGCTGAATGCTGCCAAGAGCGACACATCAGGGAGGTAAGAGTCTCTTGAGAGGGGCGAAGAGGGAAAAAAAAAAAAAAAAAGGGAAAAAAGCTAATTTTGCCCCCAGTGTTAAACTTTGACATGTGAAGCATTTCTGTTCCCAGATGATCAGCCCAGCTGCTTAAGAAGGTATTCATACCACCTACTGCCACAGTCGAGCTCCTAAAATCAGATGCTCCAAATTTTCTTACAGAGACAGCTCTGTCTGTATTTAAGTCTAACCTTAACTCGTGTTTCTCCATGAAATACCCACAATTAGGTGTTGTGAATACCGTCTCTCGCCCCCCCATAACCTTTCCTCACCCTTAGAAAAAAGTGCTTTTGCTTTTTCTACCTGATAAATATTTGGGCTGCTCGATCCTGTCCCCTATCCCATGTGTTTGTACTGAGATCTGTCCCGAGGAATTTGCACTTGGTTGGCTGTCAGCTTGTGGTGGATATGGTAAACGCAGAGGGTGATCACGATAACCAACCCCAGTATCAGGCCCAAAATCAGAGGCAAAGTTTCTTCTAACTGCTCCCTCTGGTCCACCGGGCACTTGTGTTCTGCAAGGAAAGGAAGAAAAGGAAAGAGAGAAAAAGAGAAGTGAATGAGACACTGCACATCTGAACTCCTGCTGGAGTAGTGAACCGACCTTCCCGGAGTCACGGCTCTGTGCCGGAGGTCCATCAGAGTCCCAGGGAGAAAACCATTGCTTTGGAGAAAAGCAAAATCAGCATCACAAGGCAGGATTTGGAGGGAGAGGTAACATCTACCAGATCAGCCGACGTGGTGGGACACTTTCACAGCCGTAAGCTCCTCTTCAGGCCTCTCCACCACACCAGTACAGCAATGGCCTCGTTAGAAACAGGACAGCCAAAGCACAAGTTTCCTGACCGTGGCTGAAGATCTGCTTTGTTTAGTTAGTTGTAGAGCTATAAATATGGTATCACGAGACCTCAACATCAACAAGTCTTTAATCCGGCATCAGACTCACCCTGATCACTGTTCAAAGACTTTTCCCCTCCTGCAAGTTGACAGAGATCTAACAGCATCTCTTCCCCCTGCCTTCTCTGTGAGCTCCCCATGGAGAGTTTACCAGCACTGGCAGAGCACATGTGTGTCTGTGGTCAAAAAGCATTCTAGCATCCCATATTTTTCGTCAAATATGGCAAAAGATAAGCAGAAGCAACAAAAGCCTCCCTAGTGTTTTTCTCCCTGACCTACGAGTCCCTGTCATAGTCTAATAAACCACTGGAAAATAAGAATAACCACAGCTACAACAGGAAACACTTTTCCATTTAGCTTGCAAAGGCCACCGAGGTTAGGAAACACGTTACGCTGGTAATTCCAGTTCAGTTCCCTTACACTTCCAGAATCTACTGCAGGCCTGAATGACAGGATCACGATTTACTTTTTTTCCCCCACGACACTGTTGCTTATCTGTGCTGATGGACAGGCAGAGCTGATGCTGCTGAGATGGGGCTGCCAGACCAAAAAGAAGAAACTCTGGGGGGGAAAAAAAAAATAAAGGTTATGGGGTACAGGAGGGACAATGCTCTGGCTCCTGGATCATCATCTTCACAGTACTAGAATTGTGCTCAAAATAATGAAAACAGCAATTACCTTAAAAAAAAAGTGGAGGAAAAAAAAAGCTGCACATTAGATGAGCAGATACAAAGGGCACCACTAATTCCTCCCATCACTAAAGACCGTCCAGATGGGTTCCCCAGGCAGCTGATTGCAAGACGCCGAGATCTGCTATACCCATGAACTGCAAACGCTCTGCAAATCTAATGGCATGTGGCAAAGAGCAGGAAAAACCCAGAGACTCCCCAGGCCCAGGCAGGAGGTGACAGCAGGGACGTTATCTCCAGCAGTGCCGGCACCTCCGGGAGCTCCATCGCCTCCCGGAGCGGAGCCATCCTCCCAGCACCAGGTTTGCAGAGATGCCATGGGGAAACGTTTCGAGCTGTAAACGAAGTGAAACATAAAAGCAAAAGTAAAATATAGTCTAACAAAAAAAATGTCCTTTTCAGTTCTAGTTGCTCACTGTTTCACCAGAGGAGTGATTAATCACCAGGACTGTGTTACAGGCGATTCAGCAATTGCTGCAATGCAGGGGTTTTGTTTGTTTGTATTAAGGAGAATGGGGGGAAAAAAAAAAACCCTGATCATTATTTAGCTCCCAAATTTGAATTTCTAGAGCTTTATGAAATTCCACCCAGTTTAGGATGCCAAGGCCTGACCAGACTTGCAGTGCCAAGGCAGAGCCAGAGCAGCAGGTTGGCATCCCCGGACCTGACTGTAGGAAAAGCCACGCAGGGTGCTCTGCCCCCCCCGACCCCACCACCCACGTGTCAGCACGAAGCAGCACCTGTCCTACGGGAAGGATCCGTGCCAGAGGAGCTCAGCACATGGCAGCAGACAGCCCCACAGGCCAGGGTATGAGGATGTGCCAATGAGCAGCGGTTCATTCCAGTTGCTGCAATCTCCTCCTGCAGGCACTTATTTTTGCTTTGGAAGTGGTTGAGCTTAAACCCTACAGAAAATTGAAATAAGAGTGCCGTAAACCCAACCGAGGGCATTCACCTGTGCTCAAACACGGCGGGTTTGCCCGTGGGCCTTTCCTTAAACCAGAATGATGCTGTGTTTGCAGGAGAATGGGGTGAATGTGGGGGCCTGTGGCCAGTGAAGAGGGGAAAGCAAAAAGCACCAGCACTTCGATGCAAAGGACTAACTCAACTCTAACGCATCTGCTTGTGATACTTGAATTCCCATCTTTTGCTAAAGCAAACTGGCTGTAGAGCACGGAACGTGCCAGAGGACACAACCAAAGCTCTGGTGTCCATAAAAAGCCACGGCTGTATTTAAGCATCTGAGTCAGAACTCAAAAAGGTGTCAATTCTTGCAAGCAGCCAAGGAAAATAGTTCTTTATCCTGACAGTTTTTAAAGAAGATTAAAAGAAAAAAAAGCCCACAGGAAAAAAAAAAGCAAAGCAAAGCTTGCAGTCTCCAGCAGCACATCCACAAACCCTGCTGCTCTCCCCAGCTCGACCCTGCTGCACATCCCGGGCAGAAAGCACTCTGCCCTGGCAGCGAAGAGCACAGCAGAGCCTTCAACCTTACCAACCTTCTCCTCGCCAGACACATCCACTTTCTGCGTTCAGAGCAGATCACCAAAGTCTCTGCTCTTCCAGAGCACAGGAGGAACAGGAACGGGGCCGTGGGGGACCGAGCACAGCAGCACAGGCAAGTGCAAAGCACAAACGCTTTTGGAGAGGGACTAAGGCTCTCCAGAGGCTGACTGCCTGGAGAATGAATTTTGTATTTTAACATTCGCACAACGTTAAACCACATCATTTAACAATAAAAACATTTTCAAATTTGCAACTGTGTCCTTTAACTTTTATACTGCATTTTTCACCCCAAGAGTTCAATGCGTTGCATAGGCATGGAGGTCCACAACACCGTGGGGAGGCAGGTAACAGGGATCATTCCTGGTCTATCAGCAAAGGAAAACACAAAGGGAGAGCAGGAGGGAAGAAAGTTTTGCATAAAGCCCACAGCAGACACAAATTCACACACTCAACCCCAGCACAGCACGGGCAGGTAGGTGGGCTGGTTGATGCACAGTGAACAAAACACTGTCGCACTGGGGACTGCTGTGTATTTTAAATCGACGCCTTCTGCAGGCAAACAGACCTTTCCATCAAATTTTCCTGAGTGTTTTGCTTCAGGTCACAGGGATCGTAGCATTTCCCAAATCGCTGGGTTCAACCCTCAGTCCATGAAAGCGAAAAGGTCCCTGGCAAATTTTAACTATGGGATAAATTTAGGTAATGCCAGGAGTTTTGCTACACCCTGAACCCAGCGAGGACATCCCTTTGCAGGAGAGGTGCTGAGCCCAGCTGTGCCACCCCGCAGCCCCGGACCTGTCAAACAAAGACCGCGGGCGGATACAAAGGAGGCATTTAGGTACGATCCTCATTGTTCTTTTGTGCTGCGCTTCCTCCGACACCGCACAGCACCCAGGCTCACGTACCGCCACGGTTTCTATGGTGAGTGCTCGTCCAATTTCAGCACTAGGCTGTGAAACCACCCAACAGGCCCATTTTCTTGTTTCAGCATCCTTCTGCAGAACAAATAGCAGCGGGCAAAAAATAAATAAATAAAGCAGTGGTTTCCCGCAGTCACAACTGCAAGCCTGAGGACCGGCACAGGGGCTGTTCGAAGCGATGGAAAAACAGTCCAGTGGTATCTGGCATTGTAGGATGGATTTTTGAGATGGGTGTTTATAACTGATTAGCTTAAAAAAGAAAAAAAATAAAAAGACTGGGTGCTTTTTTAAACGTGGTCACATACCTTGCAAAAAGGAGCTACTTGGTGCCAAGGATCCTTGAGAAAACGTGGCCCTTGTTTGGGGTGACTTAGAGGGAGATGAGACCTCCCAGGATCTTGGTCTCTAATCCTCAGCCTTTGTATTAGTATTTTGCTTTATTTTCATTAAAATCGAAAGACATGACAATTTTTGTGGGGTTCTTTTGCCAATTTAAATGTTCTCCTCACACCCTCTTGTTCCAGTTCTCTTTTTACTGATTTTTTTTTAAGCTGAAAAACATATACACATTTTCCCTAGTAAAAAAAAAAAAAATTTCCCAAGCTCTGAATGGAAAAAGTGTTCTGCTGCTTCTGTATTAAAAAGGTACATATAGAGAGAGATTTATGTACCTTTATGTGTGTGTATACAGACATGTATTTGTAAGGGTTGGAAGCAATGTCTTAGAAAAAAAGATATTCTAGCATATGAGTTTAAGCATTCAAAAAATAAAAGCAACCCAATCACTCCCTACAAGCTTTTTAATCTATTCCAGACAGGACCATGTCAGGACTAATAACAAAACCTTTCTCCCCATTTCTTTGTGCTAAAAGAGTCCTGATCCTCCTGCGTCTCGGTGATTCTTCTGCTCTAGCAAGTCTCTTCCTCTATTCGAAAATATTTTAAAATGTTCTGTAGCTTGTTCATAATTAATAGGAATTTTACCTAATGGGAAATTAATGAACCAAAAAGGAGAAGGCTAATTACTGTAATTTAAGATTGGCAGTGATTCTCAGACCCCACAAAGGATCATGTTTTGCCATGCATGTGCCAAGGACACGCTGGTCCACAGGGCTGGTGGGGACGTGCTGCTGGGAGAAGTGACAGAGCCCTGTGTGAAGCTTCATTGATAAACGACCTCTTGGGCATTTCTGACTATCCTCTCCAGGTGCTCTTAGCTATCTAACTTCCAGTGGAATTAAACAAAAAGAAGTGTCACTGAATAACAAGAGCAACAACAAAAAAACAGAAAGCTTGAAAAAGAGAGAAACTGTACTTTCCTCAGGAGGAGGAATTCCCTAACATTCAAAGATTGCTAAACTAACCAGGATCTCTTTCTGTTCTGGAGAAAAACACACCCAAACTACAACAGATTAAAAAGAAAAAACAAACAGATTTACTGTCTGATATGAAGGAGCATACATATCATGAAAAAGGCAGGTAGTCCCCTTTGGCAATTGAACCCCGAGTTTGGCTGGTTTACCTGTGAGCTCTCCAACTTGACAAGTTTGATATCAGAGACACAACAGTTAAAACTGAGTCCAGAGCCACATGCTTTAAATCTGCCTTTCTCAGCCTCCAAGGTCTGCTCAGCCAAACCCTGAGTGCAGGAAGTCTGGATCCACGGGAGGATGGAGAGATGAAGACGTGCCAACAAAAAATTATAAGAAACTATTGAATTCTACCTTTTTCTTCCTGTAACCTATGTAAAACGTGGTAGTACGTCGATAGAAAAAAAAAAATAAATTGTGCCCACAGATAAAACCTACTCCATACTACAGTGGCCTTGCCATGAGTAATTCAGCCACGCAGAGCTCTGCCAGTGCCAGCGTACATAATAGCAGGTATTTACTACACCAGTTAGAGGAATGTGAGTCATGAGCATAAGCACTCAGCTCTGTAGTCAGTGCTGGTTTTTTATCGTGTTCTAAAATATTTCCCACACGCCAAATAATAAAGCCCCACATTTTTAATGCTAGGCTTGAAAATCACACTACCATTTTCTAGCTCGTTATTAAAAGATTCAGCTATTACAAATTTTATTTGCACCCTGTTACCATCATGGAGTTAACTAATTTGTTAAGATGGCACTATAAAAAGGGGACTAGTCTTGAAGCCCTAATTCAGGTGAGCATGTTTACACTCCTTCATTCAACTTGATGGAAAAGGCAGGGAGAAGGTGGGGAGGAGGAGCACCACGGGTTCCTCACAATAAAGGAGGGCAAAACCTGCAGGAATTCTGCCCCATGGCAGCATTGCTCCTGTCTTCAGTACAACTCTTTGATACCTTTAACTCTCATTTTCTTTCATCCACAATCAACCTTAAAGAAACCCAACATGAAGAAGAGCATCCCATGTATTTAGTGAACAAGGTGCCTCACTGAAGCCCCTGTTATGCTTCCCTCACCCTTGCAATGAGCATTAATCAAACTGAAGCCAGCAACGTGCATCGCAGGTGTTTCCTCCCACAGCTGCGCCAAACTTTCCTCAGTGTGCTGTGGCCCTAAAAAGCCCCTGAAGCTGTACCAAACCACCTTCCGTGCTGCAGAGGTGACACCTAAGCCTTGCAGGGCTCCCAGGGACCAGGCAGTTCTGGGGCTTGCTGGCAACCCAGCCAGATGAGTCCTTACAGAACTTGTATTGCCAATGTACATGCAATGACAGCCCACGTTTTGACCAAATATCAGCTGAGCTGAATTTGTAAAGGTTTTTGGGAGACGACAGAGGCGGGGAACGGGTTGGAGGGACTGCAGGGAGCACTGACAACCCACTGGAGGGAGGGGAAGGTGCTCTGATAAAGATAGGACCCAAATTCCTGAAGTACATTGTGACACCCCCAAAGGCCACGGCAGCGTCAGCATCTCAGGGATGCAGAACATGCCTTTGCCTGCACCTTACCTTCACTGAAGACAAAATCCGCAGTGATGTCGAAGGGCTGGACACGCACTTCCGACAGCAAGAGCTGCACAGACTTCTGGTGGTCGCTGGAGATGAGGGAGATGGTCTGCTGCGCCTGGCACTCATAGGACTTCCCAGCTGGGGTGACCAGAGCAGAGAGCCGGTGCGAGCTGGCTGTGTGCTTCCCGGCTGGCCAAGTGGCAAAAACAGCAGAGGTCAGGTCCCGTCTCCGGGGGACTGATGTGACTTTATCAACAAAGCTAATGAATCGAACACAAGGGCACGCAGGCGGCGTGCAATGCGGCGGCCGCACACTCCACTGCTCTCAAAGCAGCATTTTCTCCTGGGGTGGGACCATGCTTTCGGCACGACACCCCCACACAGCCATGGCAGATCCCGCACTGGGGTCGCCTGCCTGCGAGCAGAAACAGATGGCTGCAGCGCGCCGTCCTGCCGGCACAAACGGGAGAGCTGGCTCTGCCGCTGCCAGCTACGCTCATGTCATAGCACTGAAGTCCGTAAAGTCAGAGGAATGGCTTCTGTTGATGGATATGCAGGTTTCAGCCTCGGCCTGCGCTTGTACTCCCTATGTTCGGGAAACAGCAATCCCTGCGGCTGCACTTGGACTCTGAATTCAGGTCGGAAGGTGCAACACGATTTGGGGACCTTACTACAACGCAAAACAGGCCATAACACCTTTCCTGAAAATACAACATGACCATTTCACCCAAGTATAGATTATAAGAAAATATTTTCCCATCACATCAAGCTTGTTTCATAAATGGAGGCCGAATGCGGCTCAGCAAGGTGGAACGAGGGATGCCTTCCACCTCCCGCTCTTTATTCCCCTCCAGCAGCACAGAAAGGCAATCAGTGTTTCACATTTGCAGAGGGTGATGAGGCATGGCCAGCACCATGTTTTGGGGATGCAAACGGTAGAAATACCAATGGAAAAATAGCTCCATGTCCAGCGTGCCTTATGCCACAAACTCTTAATGCACCACTTACTGGAATTCGAAAATCTTGCGGAAGAACACCTTGCAAATGACAGTATTTCAATTTTAAATACAAGACAACTCATTTCTGCATAGAAACAAAATAAAACCAAAACGAAAGACAAAATAAAGGAAACCCAGTGAGAAAAGAAGAGGCTGTTGGGTGTGGAGGCATGTAGAGGTATGGATATTGATGTTGATCTCTTCCTTAGCTTGGGAAACCGCTGCTTTCCCACCTATTCAACCGTCATCAGACCCGGAGAGATAATTAACCTTAAAAAACGTCTCCCGCAGGAAAGGAGACAAATTTTTCCAGATCAGGTGGACTCGTGCCCCCGCTGCCCACCCCCTCGGACCCCTGGGTCCCGCCGGGGGGGACACGGAGCAGCACAGAAAACGGGCAGAGGT